TGTTACTTTGTGGATGGTAGAGGGTCGACAGTTTGTATGTTATTTGAAATTTTTTTAACAGTGCTGTGATCAATTCATTTCTAAAGTGTGTGCCACGATCTGAAGCTAAGTATTGCGGACACTCATGCCTGCAAATTATTTCTTCGTATATGAATTCAGCAATCTCTATTGCATTATCTTTTTCAAGTGCTCTTGCTTCGGGCCATTTTGACATATAGTCAGTGGCCACAACTATATATCTTTTATTCCAAGGCATTATGGGCAAGGTCCCTACGATGTCGATGCCAATTCGAAAAAATGGTGAGTTCACTTGTATTGGGTGCAGAGGTTCTTGGAGCTTGTTCTTTCTACATCATTGACATGAATCGCACGTACATACATATTCTTTAATTTCTTTGAACATTTGGGGCCAAAAATAATACTTTCTTATTTTATCGAACATCGCTTTTTGACCCATGTGACCTCCAGTAGGATGATTGTGTGCAAGAAATAATATAGGCTCTATTTCGAATGCTTGTGTGACTTTTAACCAATTTCTTTTTTCTCGTCTATCTTTTCTGTATAACATGTTTCCTTTTACTTTAAAGAATTTAGATTTTGAGACTATTCTTAGTTGCTCTTGCTTGTTCAAGTCCAATGGCAAATGTTGTTCCAGTATGTATCATCTTAGTTGATGGTAGTGTTTTAAGTCCTTTTTTTTTTTTGATTTCTTGTTATTATTATTATTTGGGTGCCAGGACACTGGTAACTTGGGCTGTATTGGGTCCAGATTTTCTTTTTCTTTTTGTTGTTTGTTGTTTTTTTTTTTTTTTTTTTTGTTTTTTTTTTAGCAGAGCCAAGTGTATGCTTTATTAAGTGTATGCGAGAAGTGGGCATTCCTGCCTTTTACATTAGAATAAATGCTGCTATATATACTATTTACTAAATATGCCAAATGTTCTATATATTCTAAATGTGCTGAATGTCCCGAATATCCCATATGTGCCGAATGTGCTAAATATGCTACCTATAGTAATGCGCCTATACAAACAAATATGCATTCGATTGTTAATTTCGATCATAGTTTGACAATTTAATTTATACTTATAACAATATATTGTGTTTGTCTCTTTATAATGTTTTCTTTTTCTTCTAGTATTATTCTATACCAGTCATTTTCCTTTTTGCTAATTTTCTGTATAGCAATATTTTTGTTATACTTACAGTCAAAGTCAACTTCTATCTATAAATTTCCTTTTTTAAAGACTTTTTTTACATCTTTGACATATATATTATTTCTTAAAGACCATCTAATAAACTTTATACATTCTTCTTTTGTTTTCCCTAGCACATTGTGAGCTAGTATATTTATAAGTAGGCTATTGTTCTGGTTATAATTTCTCTTGCTTGGGGTCCATATGCTTTCTTCAAGAGGTTCTTTCACTATATCAATTTCTCTTTCAAATTCTAGTTTAACAACTTTTTCTCGTTTTCATTGGATTTGTTCTACTTCTATCTTGTTATTGTTATTAGTACTTACCTTTGCTGCCTCTTCTTTTTATAATATCTTGTCAATTTCTTGGACTTTTGCTTCATGTTGATTTCTTTCTTTTGGTTTCTTCTTTGATGTTTGGTCTTGTTCTATCTTTTGTGTCTCTCTTATTCTTGCAGTTTGGTTACATTTCTCCTTAAGTCTGTCTTAACCTTGTTCTGAAATAGGTTCTATTATCATTGCATAGTTGCTTTGCTCTACTATGCTTAATTTTCTTTCTGGTTGCTTTTTTTCTGCTTTATTTATTAATTCTCTTGTTAATCTTAGTAGAGCAACTTCTTTTGAATTCTGATTTGTCAACATAGTAACAATTTCATCTTCTCTACTAGGCAATATATATGTTTTACCTGCTTGTTTAATAAATATACCATTTTGTATACTATTAATAGCTCAGTATGCTCTATTAAAATATGTTGTTATTAGACTGCTATTATGTCTTTTGGTTATATCCATATTTCTATTTATATTAAGCATATATTTGTTTTGCTTGTCCTACATATGGTTGAGTTGCTTGTTTGTTTATGTCCTTGTAACCAAAACAGATCTGCAATATCAGGTTAGTGCCAATTCCTCAAAATACAATAATTTTTCAAATTTTCGAGCATTTTCTTCAAGAAATTTTTAGTTTTCTTTGCTTTTTCTATGTTGTATCTCTTGTGTTTGTCTATTTCTTCTCTTTTTTTTATCTTTCTTGAATGTTCTTTCTTTTTACTTAGCTCTGCCAAAGTAGTTTAAAAGGCCACTTTTGCATAAAATCAGTTTTCCTTTTTGGTCAATTTTTGTGTTTAGATAATCAGTAAGAAGAGTTTGTTGAAATAAATGATAGTTATTTTTAGATATTTATTCAAGATTAAAATATAAGATAAAAGTAGCAGTAATTGTATAATACTTTGGCTGCAATACATAGCTTCTTGAAAGTTAAGATTAATAGAGTTAAGTTTATTATTATAACTAGTTTGGCATTTTCTAATAGGTCTAAAAGTTTTGTGTAATTGAAGTTACAATATGTTTTTGATAATAGTATGTATTAGAATGTTATATATAGATAAAACCTTTTTTATAAATAAGTTAACTTTTTTTGCAGTTTGTAAAAGAAATATAAAGTCTAGTATTCTTAAATCTAAAAGGTTTTGAAATAACTATTTATATAAAATAATGTAATTATTTAGTAGTCTTGTAAATGAATAGTTTATTTACAAAAATCTAATATGTTTTTTAAAGTCTTCTTAGTCTTTAAATAAGAAAGAAATTTTTTCTTTTAGTCTAAGAGTTAAACCTTGTAAAGTTAAAAATAATGATTTTTTTGATATTAATAACTTAAAATAATTAGGTAAAATTTGTTAAAAAATGTAGAATTTCTGCAAGATTTTCTGTATTAAGTAAGGTTTTGCAAATCTGTTCTATTTATAATAGAAAAGGTATTCATAGGAATTTGGTAAAGGTTTATAATTATCTGAAATATATTTTATTAAATAAAAATATTAAATAAAGAGTTTTGGTTATAAGTACAATAATCTGATAATTTGAAATAAACAAACTAAAAGAAATAGTTTTTTTTAAGTAACTAGAAATTAATATAGCTTTTAAAGGTAATAATATTAGCATCTTATTAATAAAATTTGATAACATTTTTCTAGATGTTTCAAAGTTTAATTACTATAAAATTTTTACAAATTCTGTTAAGTAAAAGATATATCTTGTAATTTTTTATATATTTATTAAATTAAAGTATAAATTAGTTAAATAATCTGTTACTAGTTTAATTTATAGTAATTCAAAGATTTGGTTCTAATTTTTTTTGTTTGTTGTTAATGTATTGTATTGTTTTTTATAGATGTTTAAAGCCTCTATAAATAAATTATTAAACTTTGTTTAATGCTATAATCTAATTGTAATAATTCATATAAAAGTTTTTAAAAATATTATATTTTTATAAACCAATTTTGCTGTTATTGCTTTTGAAATATAATTTAAAATAGGTTTAGTAATAAGTTTGTATCTAATTAGTTCTTTAATGTTCTTATACAAGTTAGTACATTTTTGATTTCTAGACAAATCTAGATTGTCATGTTAAATGGCTCTAATCTATTTTGTTTAATTTTTTTTAAAACTAACTATACATGTTTGTATTATTCTTTTTTGTTATTACTGTTAAAACTATTTGAAGTTTTTTTATTTCTTTTTAGAAGACTTAGTAACTTTCTAATTATATACAGTATGTTGCAAAAATAACCAAAAAATTTTATAAAATTTAGATTTGCATAATCTAAATTTTTTAGTTTAGATTTTTAATTACTAATTCTTATATAAAATTTAAAGACAAAAGATATATAATGAATTTTAAATATTTTTATTTAATATTATATAATTAAATATTTGTTGAGTATTTGTTAAACTTAGTGTGGCTAGTGTGGCTAATATGACTAATATGGCTAAAATAGCTAATATTTAATATAATTAATATAGCTAATATAACTAATATAACTAAGATAATTAATATGAATAGTATAGTTAATAAATACATATTAAAGAATTTATATTAAAAAATTTTAATATATTAGAATATTATATAAATAAAAAATAAAATAAAAATTTTAAGCTAATTTTAGCTAGTCTAGTTAAAAAAAAATAACTAATATTAGCTTTTAATTTAAAAAAATAGTAAACATATACTGTATTTATTTTATTAATTTTTTTAATAAATAATTATCTAGTTATATATTATAAATTGTATAAATTTTATTTAATTTTAATGATACTGCTGTGCCACAGTTACACCATTTCTAATTCTGGTTATTTTTGCAACATACTGTACATGTCTAAAACTAAGTGACTTAGCTGAATCAATAATATAATTATATTTAAAACAAAGCTTAACCTTCAAAGAATGACTAGTAGTTAAATGTTGATGTTCTAATCATAAACACAAAATTGCTAAACAACTTGTATTTCTATTATCTGAAGATTCTGAACACTTTTGTTTAGGATCACCTTGTTTATTTCTAACTATTTGACTATGAATGCAATGTTTTAATTCTCTAAAAATAACTTGCTTGCTTTTAACCCCATATCCTTTTGTCTGTAAAATCATTATTTTCAAATGTTCTTCAAAGGTGAAAAACCATACTTTTATATCATTTACAATTGAAATATTAATGAACATATCAATCTCAAATTGCTGTATTTCAAAACCCTCATAAGTATAATATAACAGCAATTTTATAAAATGCTGAATCATATAACTATAATTAGGAAGAAAAATATCTCGCAAAAAATTTGGCAAACAGTGCCAATAAAATATCTAAAAAACATACTATTTATTATTATGTTATTATGAAGAAAACTTGTATTACTCATTAATTCAATTTACCTCAAAAGAATTATCATCGTCTGTATCATTACGATTCGTAGTGTCTTGAATTGCTTCACAAGAATCATTAACTGATTCATTATGATCAATCTTTATAAATCATGAAGCAGAAAATGAATCCCATGTATGATTTGTAAGCGAATCCGATATATGATTTGTAAATGCATCCCACGTATGATTTGTAAGTGTCTCACATGTATGATTTGTAAGTGTATTTTCCATATGGTTTACAAATGTATTTTCTATAGGATTCGTAAATGTATTTTCCATAGGATTCGTGAACGTATTTTCCATAGGATTCGTGATCATATTTTCTATACGATATGGGAATGTATTTTCCATGCAACTGAGGAACGCATTTTCCATATAATTCGTGAACGGGTTTCTCCTTAGATTATTCGTGAACATATCCTTATCCTCATCCGTATAATTCATGAAAAAATATAAAGTTGACGTCTGTTATTACTAACATGAATCATGTGTAAGTTACTATTCAAGCAAGAATTTCTTATATATTAATTATTTATGTATGCAAGCTTGAGTCTTTTTTTTTTTTTTTTTGATTGTTCGTCGTTTCCAACTGCCGTACACTTTTACTCAGAGATTGTAATGTATTTCTATGTTTGATA